TTGTGGCAGGGTCCTCCTGCAACCTCTCCATGAGAGGCCGGGTGGAAAATGCTGCTCAGCCTAAGAACCCCTGCTCACCACCTGAGGCTTGGCAAGCCTCTTCCTCAGGGAGAGGGATTTGGCATCTGCCTCTAGGTGAAAGGCATCGGCAAGGGGTTTCAATGCATTTTGAGAGGGTTTTTTGCATCAGGAGAGAGGCCCAGCAACAGGCTTCCCCCAGGCTGCCCTCCCTGCTGCCCACCCCTGCCTCTTGCTTCACAGCCCCCTGTCATCCAGGAACCAGCATCCCACTGCTGGGCAGGGCATCCTGTCCCTCCTCTCCCTGACATGGGCAGCTACCAGCCCCATGATAGTCACAGCACTGCTCACAGACCCATCTTTCCATTGATTTCTCACTCGAGAAATCACCCGATTGATTGAGAAAGCACCCAATCAAGCTCACCCTCATTAACAGGATGGGGGTTAGATGTGACCCTGCTGCACCCCACCACTCAACACCCCTCTGTGGAGACAGGGCTCAGTCCCGGTCAGAGCCCCCTGGCTCTCGCCAGGTCTTTCCCCAAGGGACCAGGTCAGGCTCAGTTGCCTCAAAGTCTCCATATTCCTCCTCCTCACCGGCTGCGGCTCCGCTGCCCTGCTGCGGGCCGGCAGCTGGGGAACGTGCTGACGGAGGGAGATTTTGGCTCCAGTGCGTCAGTCAGGCTTAGGGGCCCACCAAGTGGCGCAGGGGGCCATGAGGGCAGGCTGCCGGGCACACCATCACGCCCACATTGCCATCTAGCCTCCTGCTCTGGGATGTGCAGCTTGCCACCCTCACCCCTGCCAACTGAACGATGCCCGCTTTGGACCAAAGTCTGGCCTCAGGCTGCATCGACCCCAGTTTGGCCTGGGATTCAGCCGTCTCCCCCTCCTTCCAGCCCCCAAAGTCACTAGCTGTCTCCCCCAGCTCTGCAATTCATCCGCCCTGCTGGCACAGGGCCACAAGATGGGGCCGCCTGTCTCCCAGCCTCAGTCTCCAAGCAGATGGAAGACATCAGCTCCCCGCAGCATCCCTTGGCGATAATCTGTCTCACTCGCTTCCTTTTGGGGACACCCCTTCTCACGGCCAGCTAATCCCCAGTGCTCGCCTGTCTCTTTCCAGACCCCTGCCCTCACCAGAGAGCCCTGTTGCATGTCTTTTCTGGGCAAGCACCTCCCCAAAGGCCATCTCTCCCTACCCATGCAGGATGCCCTAAAAAAAGACCCCTCTCCCCCAACTACCATGGAAGAATGTCTGGGCATGAAGACCCCACCATTGCCAGGGAAACAGGCACCCTCTCGGGAGCTTCATCTGACGCAAATCCCATATCCAAACACACGAGAACTAATCCAGGGACCCAGTCGGAGCTGACCAGGGAGGCACATTTGTAATGGGGCAATAAGACCCTGGGAGGACTCTGCCTTTGGCTTCCCCTTCCCTCTGCAGTGGGTGGCAGCTCCCCCAGAGGCTGCTCAGGAGATGAGAGAATTCCTCTTTACGCACTGTCACACTGGGAAATTTTCCCATTTACCATATAAAATCATGTTAATGGCAGAATAATAAACATATATAAGGAGCAGGGAAGGGAATGACCTTCTGGCAGCAGCTGAGGTAGGTGGTGGTTTGGTTTTTCTTCCCTTCTCTGAGGGAATCATCCCACCAGTCTGCAGCTATCCTTCAAGAAAAGGACCTGCAAGAATTGTTACCCACAGAGGGAATCATGTCTGATTCCCTAGCAGGGTAGATAGATGCACAAGGAAAAGCCTCTCATTTGGGGAGAGCTCAGCCTCAAGCAGATCCCAAAGAAGGATGCCACAAGCTGGAGCCCAGAAAACCCAGCAGCCACTCCTGGGACACCACTGCCTTGCTGCTCAGAAGGCTCCAGCACGTCCAGAGCAGAGCTGGGGCCAGCCTGGAAGTTGGGAACAAGCAGGAATCATCTCCTATGCCAAAACAAAAGAGAGGACCTGGAATACAGGGCCTAGTCGGAAGAAAAGAGAGAGCCCGGAGAACCAACATCAGCCTGGGCCACTGGCAAGGTGCCATCCATCTGCTCCCGCCTGTGTGGGCTCTTCCACCAGAGCAACACCGGGGCAGTCAGGATCTGACCATCCCGCAGCTATGGCAGGGCCGAATTCAGAGGGAGCCAGCTAAGGGCTCATCCACGAGCCAGGCCCTTTCCCCTTCAGAGAGATGCTGCTACAGGCAGCGCCTGGAATTTGCTAAGCATGAAGCTGTCACCATGAGCCGGGAATTTCTGCCGAAGTTACGTTCCTCGTTAGGGAAAGACGGGTAAAAACTGCAGGAGATGCTCTACGGGATATGCTTAGCTTAGCTGTCTGCATGTCTACTTATTAAGCTCCGAGGTTAAGGATTTAGTTCCACATATCAGTTTACTTAGACATAAAGCATTGCTTCACATTTTAATCTCAAGTATGCTGCATTGTCTTGCCCGCTTCCTCTCGTGCCCTCTCCCCACGACCTCTTCCCCAGCAAAATGCTGGAAAGTTATTAGCAAATATTCTGTGAAATATTTAATATCCAAACAGCAGGATCTGTGCATCCCATGAGAGACTCACAGCCCTTACGGTCAGGACAAGAAAAACAAGGATTGTTTGCAGGCCCCCAGGTCCTACTGGGAGACACATCATGGCTGGGGTTGTTGCCAAGCAAAAACCTCATAGTAAAGCAGCCCATTAGATGAAGTATCAACCAGGCTAGCTGGGACCAAGGTATTCCAGCTTGGGATGGACCCCTCTGCCACTGTGCCCACAGTCTTTGCACAGAAACTAAATACCCCATGCAAGTGCCATCTGAAAGTTTACTTTCTGGCCCTCTGCTAGTGGAAGCCATCTTCCTCTTCTGTTCTCAAAAGGATTTACACTGAGGAGGTCTGAGCTCCTTCTGTCTGCAGGACAGGCATGACAGACATGTCAATTGGCTTATGATTTGTTTATAAAAAACCCTATAAAAGTATTTATGCGTTTATCAGGGTTGGGGGACTTTCAAAGGCTGTGGAAGGTTTGCTAAAGGAAGAGCACAGAGCTGATAAGTGGCATGAACACTTTCTCTAAATACGCATAAAAACATACACCCTTTTTATTACTTGAAATACTTCAGCCGGCTACTGGGATGAGCTTTGAAAAAGCTAAAAAAACCCTACCTAAACTGGGCTGTGAAGATTTATCTGCTAACAGCAGAGCACAATGCTCACTTTCCCATCCCTCAGCCAAACTCTGGTAGATGCAGCACCCTGCAGCCCTGCACAAAGCCTCCCCAGTGCCAGGATCAGACCTGTGTGCCCAGCACTCACTAAAGCCCCTTGACCTTGAGAAGAGTCTACACGCTCTTGGCTCGACTCTGCTCCTGAAGGCAAGCACTGAGAATCACCAAATTGCTGGGAAGCTGCTCACAGAACAGTGCTCATCCCAAAAAAGCCCCGGGAGCATCCCAGGAACAAATTCAACCAGGGGAAGAAAGGCAGTGAGCAGTGTCCGAGCAGTCAGGCCATGCCATGGCCCTGTGACACAAATCCTACCGGAGGGACGCCAGTCACGCTCATTGCTGTGACCAGCACACACGGTTTGTTCATCATCCTGCTTAGCAAAACAGCATAAACATCACCCTTGAGCACAGAAACTTCCTCCAGCACTCCAACAGACTGACACCAGGCAGGTGACCATCTGCTTTGCTGCTATGCCAGCAGGCAGGCACCTATGCAGCAAGCAGGCTGAGGGCTTAACAATGTCTGTGGGGTTCAGGACTCAGAGCAGCAGACCCAGCATCCACTGGCCCACGGACAATAGCAAACAAGGAATGTGCCACCAGCAGCAGTCAATTCTTCTTTCCTACAGAACTGGGCAGCACAGAGGCTTAGGCCCCTCCAGCAGCAAGTTTTACTAAGCAGGATGGTGCCATTACTTAAAGGTTGAGACTTGAAGGTCTCAGGTTGAATTTAAATTTGAAGTATCATCTTATCTGTGGTACCCAGAATAATGGAGTATGAGGGGATCCAGGGCTCACCTTTTCCATGGGCAATGTGGATTTCACAGTGGGGAGCATGGGGCAGATACATCTGCCAGGAGTAACTGAAATGTAGAATAGCTCAGCACTGCAGTCTTCACATCTCCACAGAGGGGCAACACAGGGCTGAGGTAAGGTGCTTTCCCAGTGCAAGAGGGAGGGGAGGTGGAAGGCACATCCAACCAGACCTGTGCAGAGTCGGCTCAAGGGCCTGAAGATGGCCAGACTCCTGCTGGCTGCTTCCCCAAACCCTCTTCCCCAGCACTGCCATTCCTAGGAGTGCTCTGCCCCGATGTCCCTTTACATGCCAGGAGCTCCAATTTATCTGCTCAGCTCCATATAAAGGCAGTTGTTTGGCTCCTGGATGACAGCTGGCTCTCAAAGCAGCACGGTAGCATTTGCCCACTATTGTGCCCAAGCTTAGGAAGCCGGACAACTACCAGTCTCACCAACTGACATCACAGACGTCTGACACAGTCCCAAAAAGCAGTCTGAAAGGAAGATGCTTTCTGCAGACCTTTCAGTCTGAACCCAGCCCTTGAATTACTCGGAGAACACAATTTCCTGAAGCTGGTCAGGTGGAGAGCATAGGCTGCATCTCAAACCCATCCCATTCATTCACCTCCTCTACCTCTGCTTCCCCATCTCTGGCATACCCTGTACAACCACACAACACTGAAGTTGAGGCCATTGTGCTCCCCCAATTCTGATGCCTCCTAAAGATCTTTCTAAGCAAAGAATAGAAATAGAAATATAAATAGAAAAATAAATAGAAACTAATCCTTTTACTGATTGTGCTCAAGGCACCAATAATTCATTACATCTGTCTTCTACTCTATTACATGTGAATCCATTTTGTGGATCTCAGTGTCACTGGGCCAGTGACTGCGCTTTGTGTCTTGCTCCTGGGGAATGGGAAAGGCAGAAATAGCAAAAAGAGAGCGTGAGTGCAAAACAGTAAGGATTTTCAAGTTCTCATTTTAATGATTAGAGACCAAATGAACACCACCAGAGCAGTAAGGGTGAAGGACCTTTTACCAAACACACTGCAGATGTTCTGTGAAATAAACCAACCTTTGGAAATAAATCAATGTTTGGAGAAAAACAAGGTATTTAAATTAGTTGTTTGTACTTCTTAAACAGGAAGAGAGACCCTTGATGAACTTCAACTTTTTCATATTCCATCATTTTCTAGAAAAGGACCAAGAAGCAGCTACTGTATGAAAGGATTGCCAGAGACCTTTCTTAGCTTTCATACAAAGTTGCGGGCTATGGCCAATACTTTGGAGAACTCTCCTTCTCTCTGTCGCAGGATATAGGGTATTGGTGTTTTTATTCTAGTCCCTACTGGATTTCCGTTGTCTTCTATGAGTACCACATTGTTGGAATCAAATCTAGGCGTCATGTTGGGGCCAGGCATCTTGTGCCCTACAATTAAAGCCTTCTTCTTTTCTCCTTTGATAGCCAGAAGGATCTTATCTCCTACTTTTCCAACTCCGGTCTTGTTATACACATGGATACATTTTGGTGGCCGGTGGTAGGATGTATTCCCCAAGGCGCTGTTGTCCACCACTCGCACGCGGGTGAGTTTCTGTATTGCTCGGCATGCTCCAGTGATACTAGCAAAAGACAGGAAAGAATGAGAGACCAATCTCCTCAATAATCCTTGGGGAGCAAGTGCAAAAACCCAGCAGAGGATCTTGTCATTACACAAACCACTCAGAAAGCACCAGCAATAAATACATACCATATGGGTGACACACTGACAGCAGTCAATGTGCTCTTTGAAAGCCAGATGCTACTTTGGGCTTTGCACACTCTTCACTAAATGTCAAACATAAAACGACCGTTCTACTCTGAAACACGACTAAAAGATGGCATGAAAAGCGGGCATGCATTTACTGGGCTTTTTAGCAGATTATTCCATCCAACTTCAATTTACAAGCAAAAAAACTGTGCTTGCTTCTCCTACAAACAGCCTACAGGAAGCTAAGACTCAAGTCAGGCTCTTTCAATCTTGTACACCATCCCCAGCAGTCAGGACTTTTCTGACCAATCTCCTTTTCAGTGAAGTCTGGGAGGCTCTCCCATCTCACTCCACTCTCAGTGAGACCTCTGAGGTCCTGAGGTGGCCGTGCTAAGCTGCCACCAAGTAGAATCTAACAGATCATCACCTTCCCCATGTGGGAGGAACCCAGAGAGACACAGACTCTTCTGTATCTGTTTGCTCTGTGGGATTATCAGGAGTAAGAAACAACAGAAATAAACTGCACAATATCAGGTTGTTAGATCTGAGTCTGAACATGCTTGGGAACAGCAGGAATAAACTGAGAAATATTTCAACCTCCCTTACAGGAACTGCTACTCTTTTATCCCATAAGCTCAAATCCAAGTCATTTGTGGCTTCTCTTCAAAGGACGCCCAAACATAGACCATTGGAAAAGTAGAAGATCCTTTCTACTGCCAAACAACTGCTTTGCAGTAAGGTATTAGAAAGATGCTGGCCAAACAGCTGCAGGAATGCCAAGCCACTGTCAGCTGAACCACTCAAATACACAACATATGGAATCAACCTAACTGTTCACCTTGTTTTGCAGAGCAGAAGCGTGTACAGTAAATAAAGACCAATGGGGACCATCAGCCCTTTTTGAAGATGAAGAACCTGTATTTGTAATGCTGCCTAGAAGAGCAAGCCATCCCCTGCATATCAAACACTGATGGACATCAGTTGAAGCGGACATTTTTACATGGATTAAGGGAAGGCTGGCTGGGTCAATCTGCTTTACTCTAACTGCTCCAGAGGTCAGGTGCTGCCTTTCAAGATTTGTTTCCCGCAGCAGAGGCCCACCCCAACTTTTCCCTGCAAGGGTACACCTCTCTTCTCTCTCAGAAGTCACTCACCTGTGCAAGCAGCCACCCTCTCCCATCCCATCCCCTGGAAGGGACTGTGGTATACCATACTCTATCCTCTGCCTGCCTGCTGTGGCTGTACAGCAGGGAAGGCAGAAGGGAAGAGGCTGGAAAGAGACAAGAGTGTTGTCACAGGATGGAGATGTGGAAACCTAGGCGGGACCAAATCCACAACACAGGAGTAGCTAACAACGGTAAGTGTAGATTACTAGACAAGACTAACTTCCCCATAAAAACTTCTTCTTTCCCCTTCTTTCTCCATTTCTGCCACAGCCTTGGAGCAAAACCCCACCACATCCAAAGCAGGCCCACCACAAAGGGAAGGTTTCCCCATTAAGACTGTTGATGTCCTGCAGTAGCACTGCTCACCTTTGTGGACTTTGCCTCCCTCTTGCTGTCAACATACATATATCCTTTAAATGTCTACTGGCCAATGCTCTCATGCATTCCACTTACAAAACCAGCAAGATTCACAGTATCTCCTCAAGATAGCTCCTGGGACTATAACACAACCTAGCTCTGAGCACTGTCTTAATCCCACTCTAGACCACAGTCACAGGAATGACTCTTCTCACCCTTTAAACTGAAGCCCTGACCCTTCAAAGAGTTATATGCTAGAGACTCCCCATACCTGCACCGAGTGTACTGTGGGATTAGGCTCTAAGCTTTAGGCAAGGCACTGTAAAATATGAGGTCAATAAATTCAAGAAGCTTTAAATGCCCTGAGCCTGGAACAAGGACCTAAAGAAAAATAACAAAATGAATATTGTTAAGGTACAAGGAAGTAATTTTTCAGGTTACTTGTGTTCTGTATAACTGAAATAATAAACTCTGGAATAATTTTAAACATGTGATTGGCTCTCTATCAGCAGGGCCTGGCTGTTGTTTTTTTGCACTTGGCTGAGAAACACAGGCATTTTCAACTTGCAGGCCCTTGTATCGCCCTCAGAGGTCTAGAAGCCTCCTTACACATATATGAAAATGCAGAGTTCGGATCACATTCAGACTGCCATGAACCTGCATTATGTTGCTGTGTTTGGGCTCACTTTACAACCTGTGAAGAGACAACTGTGAGATTTTTTTATTATATTACCTTTTTTGAATTAGAAATACTATATCTTATGCTTGACCAACTTAACAGTGTCTGTTTCAATCAGAAAACTCTCCCAAGAAAACAAAAGCAAAAGCAAGATTTAAAAATTACCTGAAGTGTCGCTGGATGACCATACTGCTTAGATGGGTTAAGGATAAACCCAATCGCCTATTCAAGAGCGCCATTTGGATTCTGGTAACCCACCCTGTGTAAGAAACAAGAGAATTAAGAACTCTAGAAAATGGACAAAATTTCTTTTTCTTCCTTTCCCTTATGTAAATCACACCCTAGAGTCTCCGTACCTCTTCAGACACTGCAATCCACAGCACACAGAGTGGTAGCAGCATCCGCAGCACACTACAAAGCAGATCAACAACCCCTGTGTGAATTCAGGAGACAATATAATTCAGATGCGTATACTACAAAGCTGGATTCAGTATCACTGCATTGCAGTTTCCGGCACACAGAGGTAAGAGCCCTTCTGCATGCACTGTGAACCATGTATTAACAAGGAGGTTTAAGAATTTCAGATGGTGAGCTAGTTTACAGGCTGCAGTGACCTGTAAAAGCTACCATACTTATTTGTAAAAGCTGCCAATGTTACCTAGAAAAAACAACCAAAAAGCCAAAAGTACTCTGCAGACTGGTATCAGAGTTTCAAGAAACAATTTGCCAGACAAGAAACAAGACAAAGCTCTGCTTGTGAGCAAATGCTCCCTCTCAGTACACACAAGGTGTTGAGCAGCCTGTGTTTAGAAACCAGAATCACACCTCTGCCAATCTCGCCCTGTTAAGACTGCCCAGATGAAGCAGTTCCACGTAACTTTACGGTTCTCGCTCAGTCCAAACCAGAACACCACCCATACTGCAGTAGAGCTGGGCTACAAGGGTAACCTCTGACTGAAGTTTACCATGCCCTCTCCCCTGACTACATCTATGGTGGCTCCCTAACTTCATTCTGTCAGACTGATGGGGACCAGCTTGCACATGCAACTACAAAGGCTTATCTGAACCCGAATCACTTTGCCAGACACCAGTTCAAGAGTCATGACCCAGGAAGCTATGCCAGTAGATCCAAGGGAATTGACAAAACAATACAGACCTAGAGCCAGTCCTCTTTCAGGCCAGCTCAGGTAGAGCCAAGACTTTCCATCTGACTGCAACTACTGCTATGTAACACAGCTTGCTCAGACCTCGGCAGTGTAATCAACACATGCTCCACTTCTCTCCTTTCTAAAGTAAACATAAAAAATACATTGACCTCTTATCTCCCTTTGCCAGTTCTGAGGAGCTTAGGGTCAAACTGTAGCAGTACATTGTAAGGCCATTTTCTTGTTTTAAAAACAAAGCTGACCTAACTTCTATAGGGAGAAAAAAATACCCACAGAGCCTTCTGACAGACAGTGCCATAGGTGTTCTTATTACAAATAAGTCCAAGCTAAATCTTCACTCTAATTTTCCCCAGTTTGTTTGTTTACATGTAATTTTTAGGGTTTATGGTTGTCCTACAGAGCAAGCATTACCTGACAGCAAGACAAAAGCACTGGAAATGTGCATGCACCACAGAAATTCTGTAGCAGTGTTCTCTGAGCAAAGCACACAATACATGGCAAACCATCTTGCCTGTCATATAGGCAGGTTTGGAAAAGAACAGCAACAGTCAAATCTTACATTTATTTGTTAAACAAAGCCACTTTTCAGGGGCGTAGACGTCCAAACGAGTTCAAAGCTTCCCTGTGCTGTCCTCTCTCTGAAATGAGACTCCAAGGCTGTGTTTTTGCTGCAGCTCCTTACCTAGCTGTGTGATCTTAAAGAAAATAAGGCCCTGTGGTAATTACAATGCTGTTGGCAATCAAGGTCCAATTACCAGGGCCTTGCTGCTGCTAGGATTTCTAAGCAAGTTCAACTACATTGCCTTGCTGTAAGCCCACACCTTGCGTTGGCAAGGAGGACAGCCTGTGTCCTGTTCTGCGCTTGGGTCTACTGTTTCCCCATGTGAATTCAAACCCAGTGGATAATACTGCTCCTACTTCCTCCAGAATCACACTGAGGCTTGGGATCCCTCTGGAAAACCCAAACAAGCATAAGCAGCAGCAAGCTGGCCTCTCTGTTGCCTTTGATGGACGCTTCTTGGGAAGTCCAGCTGTCACTGTCACCCTGGTCTCTATTCCCCTGGCAGGCATGGCAGCCTTGGCAGCAGGAGAGGATGGGCCTGCTCATTCTCACCACTACACAGGACCAACAGGAGATGTCTGCATGCTCATGGCAGTGCAGGCACAGGCGCACGCTCTGCCCGCTGTCAGGGAGACACAGCAACATCAGGACCAACATAGCTAGGTGTGCTCAAGGTCACATGTCAGAGGCCTCGAATGCTGCCTAAACTCTGAACTCATTCCCCAGTCCTGGGAGGAGTCACCATTTGTTTCTACCCTGTGGCAGCAGTGAAGGTTTGACGTTACAAAACTACCAGAAGCATCAACTGTGTTAAGTGTCCAAGGACTGTTTATGTTTCCAGATGACTCAGTACCCCATCCTTTGCTAAGAAATGTTCCTTGGCACATTAAGATGTGTCACAGGCTAAGAAACTTCGTATGATCGATTATTTGGTATGAAGCATCCTGTTAGGAACTGAGTAAACAAGGGGGATGCTTCCAATTAGTAGGAAGGTTCAAGGTAGAAAGAAGAATGCATCTGTGGCATGGAGTACAGCATTCAAGGGTACAAGTGAGTTCACGAAGAGCGAATCACATCTTCAGCTATCGTAACATGCCAGCTTCCCTCCTATAAACAGTCGTTCAGCTCTACCTCCAGGTGTTCCTCAACCAGACCCAGTCCCAGCTTGCTCCCTCTGTGACTATGAACTCAATCTTCTCTGCCCTCAGTTTTCCCCTCTGTAGAGTGGCTAATTACTAAACTCCAAAGGGCACAGGAGCCACTCACTGGGTCATGCTAGGTGCTGCCACACAAATGCTCCAAGTTGGTGCCAAAGTTGAATAGACGCTATAAAGTGATGACAGTCATCAGCCCCAGCTCATCTGGCACCTCTCTCCTTCCCAGCATCGATGTTGCCTCACAGCAGTGGGCCTCAAAAAGGCTCAGAGGGCGCTGCGCTTAGCATAGGCATGGGGAACGCATGTGACCTGAGTTTGCTTCTGAAGGTGGCTCTCCTCAGGTCATCAGGTTTCAGTGCTCGGAAGTGTATAGGAAGAGTACCCCCATAAACCTCAAGCACAGGAAAACTGTCAGGAATTACCAGAAGTCTGCTGTCAGTATTGCCCAACCGATATGGCAGTGCACCCTACAATACCCTGGACGGGCAAAACACCACTGCTGCTTAGTACTTACTAATACACTTCTGACCAAGGAATTATCTTGGAAGGGACTTCTGGAGGTCATCTAGTCCAATCTCCTGCTCAAGCAGGATTAATTTCCAAGTTGTTCATCCCAGGCAAGAGCAGTATTTAAACAGACACTATCCTAAAATGAAAGGCCCAACACAAAGACAAGTATTGATATAATATCGGCCACACGTAGTTGCACCAAAGCAGCGATAAAGAACCATGCAGAGAAACTTCTCTCCCAGTTCCTATCCTGCTGCCCCTAAATTCTAGCAGTGGCAGCAGTGGCTCTGTCTCATGGTTGGAGAGACTAAGTTCTTAAAACCAGAACTATAGAGACACTTTGCTCTTCTCTGATTCACATACCTGTTAAAAGTTAACACAGACCTCAGAGTTTGCAGTAAGATTCAGAAAGGGGGGAGTAGTTTGTTAATCAAATACTCACTAAAATGATGCAATTTCTACTTCACTGACTAACACGCAATATCCTGCTACAACACTCCCTTCTCAAGGGCCCTTCAGCTTTACCCGATTCAATGCAACAGACCGACATCAAATTCCTACACCGCACAACAAAGACACTCCACCAGTTATAAACCTCTGGAAGTTATTTACCCACTGCACCATTTTCAAGTGCCATATCAAAGCTAGCACCTTCACCGTTTTCCTTGAGATTAAAGAAGTAATTTATATTTACTGCAATCTTGAGTGGTTTTTGAGCAGAAGAAAGCTGAGATGAAATTTTCCAGAAAACAGAAGCAGGCCACATATAGTATTTTCATGAAACACATGCAAACACAAGTAAACCACCTCAGGGAGTAGATACAAAGCAAGGACATCTTCCAGATAAGGAGGACAGGATTACATACTCACTTTGAACCAACATCAGGATACACAGTACCAAGAAAGGAAGCCCTGTGTTCCCCCAGCACACATTTCCATCACCTCCCTTATGCTGGCTTTAGCATTCATGTAAATCAGTCACAGTTTTCAGCTAGATCACCTCCCTGATCCAACTCATCCCATGGCCACATGACAGTGGTACAAGGGAATTTGGCAACACACAAGGCTAGGACTTATCCTTTCACTGCCAACCCAGACTCACATCATGACAGTATCTCCAGAGAAACAGCAGATTTGGACAAGAAAAGGATCTCTTTAATTTCAGCAAAACTACTGACATGCTTCACAAGAATGGTCTGTATGAATCTGCACTATTAACACAGCCATGGGAGCACTAAAAAGGTCTGCATCTGGACACTCATGAGGCCAGTGCAATGACTCTGACCAAGTTTTTATCAGTGGTGTGTACCCTAAAAATCAGTCGAAATGCTGCTCTTACCCTGCTTGCATGTTAGAGCAAAAATACTTTTATGTAGTGCTGTCACGTAGCAATTCACTATTACGTTCCTTTTTAATCACAAGTTTTGGAAATAACACCTGCTCCATTCACTTATACCTTTTCCTTCTTTCTGCTAGTAACTCATCCACACAAAGAGGCCCCAGGGAAAACCAATGGATGCTGCAAAGCAAATGCTGAGGCCTACTACCCAAAGCCTGCTGTCAAACATACAAAATAAAACAGGGGAAAATACTCTTCACTTTAATGGTAGCAACCTGATCTGCACAGTCAAACAGTAGGGGCCAACATCCCCTTTATTCTTCTAAGAGACCAAAATAGACATGCTCCAGGCACCACAAAGATTTGAACTGCATCCGTCATCCATCATTAAAACACAGGAAATAAATCCAAGACAATATGTGCGATGCAAATACCTAAACCCCTACTCTGCCTCTGCAGGTTTATTTATAGACCGTCTGCCAGGGTGAGCTACAAGAGCCAACAGTGAACTACGGGACTCAATCCATTCACAGCTCTCCTCATAAAGGAAACGATGTGATTAAGGGCTTGTGTGTGTTAAAAATACACGAGATACTCATTACCATGACATAAATGGTTTTACATTAATGACAGCCAGAAAGGCCAAGATTCACAAAGAGAAATTAAGTCTTTTCAAAATCTGTTTATGAATAGGATTAATTATTAAACAGGATATTTATTGATCCAAGTTACCAACAGAAACTCAGTACAGGTACATCTGTTAACAATTTTGAAGCAAAACACACTAACCTCTTTTCCAGATCACAATCAGGAAAGGCAGATTAAAAAAAAAAAGAGCTGAATACCTTTAATGGAAAACTTAATGTTAACATTTTAAGTATCAAGAAACCCCAACTCTAAGGAACTTATAGCTCTTATTCTAGTATCCCAGCACCTTAAACCATTCTATATATTCATATTAACAGCACTGTACTAAAATTGGGAGGGATTATTCCCAGTGCACCAGCAGCAAATTAAGATACAGCAAGGACAACTTCCTATGTGAGGCCAAAAGAAAGGAGCAGTATTGCTCCTAACCCCAGAAGCTCTGCTCTGGTATGGTCTGTGGGGCTGGGAGTGAAGCCCAGCGAGGTCCCTTCCTGTCTCTGCCTTCTGGAATTATAGGTGAATTCAGAGAGCTGACCACAGTTTCATAGCTTAATGTTGCTATAACCTCTCAAATGCATCTTTACTACTTCTAAAAGCATTGATGTCTCAGGAACAGGACAATAATTGGCAAGCCACAAGACCAGCATGGTGCAGTTGCAAACCAGATAGCAGTAACCACGTTGGGGAGAGCTGTGGAAGGGAGAAAGACACAAACAAGAAGTAAGAGAAGGTGAGGAGCTGTGGCTCAACCATTAAAAAAAAAAAAGTCAGGAACCACTGACCTGGGCTAGGTGTTCACAGAACAAAGGACATGGCTCCAAGCCTTCCTGATAAAGTTACACCAGAAAAGGATGCCTGACACTGACAGAATCCAGACTTAAAGAGAAATCTAACCTGGAGACAAAGGCACACTCATGCTGCAAGGCAGCACAGAGGCACCTGCATCTTTGCTGTAATAAGCCTTGCTTCTCACTCAAAACTTCACCTAACTCAGTTTATCTCTTTCAAAACAAGATCCTCCCAGGTAAGCTTGGAGAAGTCTCGAACCAGACAAATGCACACAGCTCAGATGAGCATCTGTGTCGTACTATTAAAAAGGCTGGCTGCCCACCTGCTTTTACTATAGGAGTAAGTCTTCCACACTTGTAAGACACCTGTGATGCTGTCTTCTTTCCCAAATTGCTCCTCTTACTCACTGGACCTCCAAAGGAGTGTTTTGGAGAATAACCAGCAAAGCACAGACTAGTGCCCACACTTCCTGAGTCCCCATGACACACACAAGTAAATGCCACGTTTGTCAGGACACAGGAATTTCAGTCCAACTTTGCTGCATGACCACTCATACCCACGCAAACCTAATCCCAGCAGCACAGCCCCACGTGAATTCTGAAGCAGAGAAACGCTCTGAAGGACACATGGGCAGGAGTGTTTCAGCTCCTGCTACAGCATGGGCTGAAGATCAGAGGGAGCAGAGGGTGCTGCCTATCAGAGAGGCAAGATGCTGCAGTCACCCTATCTGCAGTGCCCTGTGTGCGGGTGACACAAAGGCTCCAGGCTCCGCACAGTCCAGGCTCTGTCTCCCAGCTGCTTTTTGCAAGAGGTCCCAACTACCTGCCCTGCTGCATGCCACTCAAACTCGGCCCCCGCACCGCCCTCGAGGTCAGCGTTTCTCAGCCTTTTTACAGCAACAACTCATGCTCAGGGTTTAGACTTTTCAGGGCCTGTGCACAGGCCATCAGCGGCGCCTGTAAACGTCTCGCTGTGAGGGACTGTACCGGAGGGAAGGGAGACCCCGGCCAGGCCAGGCGCCGCAGGGCCTGCAGCCGGCCGGCAGCCGCACGCGCACTGCGGGCCGCTCTC